ATGCAAATTATCCACTTTCACTATGCAGTTGGTTGGCAAACAAACTTTTGCGTCACTCTGGCATTCCTGCACAGAGAAGTGGGGGAGGGAAGAAGGTGGGCTCTCAGCCAACAGGTACTTAAATACAGGACAGGTGAAGCTAGAGACAGTGCAAGTCCACGATCTGCCCACATTTTCTACCTGACTATTTGGGAACAGGTAAGCTAAAGAACTTGTTGCCATAGCTTTGTACCTTTTTGTGTGTGAATACTCTACTATGTGAAATAATTGCATGTCATAGCTAAAACTTTACGGAGGAATGTTCATTACAGGAAAAGAAAAAGCACAAAAGTATCTGGATTTCTGTTAAAATAGTCTTCTCTATAAAAGTGTCTCTTCAGTTTTGCTTCTGTTACTGCAAGTTTTAACAGCTCATGTGCTGATCGAAGTGTGAATGCAGTTACTTTAGCAAACAGGCGGATGCTTCTAAAACTGGTATGCATTTCTAGCTGGTTTGTGTTTGCTGTTTCAGGAAAACTCTAAAGATGGTTAAATCAGCGCTGTCTGTGCTCTTGGTCCTGGTAGCCATTTCCTCTACCTTTGCTGCAAAATATATCCCCAAGAGTGGGAAGAGGGTCCCACAGACTCTGTCCAGAGGTATTTGAGTCATTTCATTCACGCATCAAGCCCAGTATTACTGAGGTAAAGGACGCACTTATCTCTAATGGTGTCTTTGTCTGTGCAGGATGGGGCGATCAGCTGATATGGGCTCAGACTTATGAGGAGGGTCTTTACTGGTCCAGGTCAAAGTAAGACATAGTTTCAAAATAAAAGTCCAAACTTTGACTTAACTCTAAAATTTGCTGAAGCTTATGATGGGCTGGTTGGTATTTTAGGAACAAGCCCCTGTTGGTCATCTTTCACCTTGAAGACTGCCCACACAGCCAGGGTGAGCAGCTGCTCGTGTTTCACTTATTAAGTTACTGACTGTGTTTGTTCGAGCGAGAAGTCTGTTCTGTTTGAAGACTGAGTGTGTGTTTGTTCATATGTGATGTCACCTTGGTCATCCTGGTGCTCTTCTCTACACACCCGAGTTATAAAACTTAAAGTCAGTTTTCTCCCACAGCGCTGAAGAAAGTCTTCTCCGAGGATAACGAGGTCCAAAAAGTCCTTGATGAGGACTTCATCGTCCTTAATCTGGTGGTAGGTTATAACACCTGACAAAATGAAGTATTTTAAAGTCTTTCAGTCTCTATTACATTTTAAGGCACACTTAACATTATTACATTTTGTGGTTCAGCACTAGGTTTACGGTGCCTGTAAAAAAACGGTTCTTTTGCTTCTCCTACAGTATGAAACCACAGACAAACATCTGTCCCCTGATGGCCAGTATGTTCCCAGGCTCCTTTTTGTTGGTAAGAGCTTGAGATTAGGACATATCCTTTATATAGACTGGTAACTACTATTACATCTATCAGTGTGTTTTATTGCACTGAATCCTTTTAATGTTTCTCAAGGAAATGACATTAACTATAATTAGCTGTATTGTATATCAGTTACAACCATGTCTCCAAAATATTGGTGCTGTGGAGAATCCTCGCCCATCCTAACCTGTTGTGTAAATGAATATACTTCAGAGACAACAAATTAAAAATCTGATATTTTATAGTGAAATGTTATGAAATTATAGTTTGATGCACACAACTGGCGTTTTTTCACTTACCCAGCACCAATTTCTCCACAGACCCCTCAATGACAGTGAGGGCTGACATCACTGGTCGCTACGCCAACCGCATGTATGCCTATGAACCAAGTGACATCAAACTCTGTAAGTGCTGCAGCCCATACTTGCTGTGACGCGTACTTGTATCACGATGCAGTTTTTGTCTGCTTGCATCCATTTACACTGTGTAATTAAACATTTCCTGTCTCTTCCTCAGTGGTTGGCAACATGCAGAAAGCTAAGAAGCTTCTGAAGTCTGAGCTGTGAGCACCAGGAAGACACACTGATGCTGATCCACAGCTGCTTTCTCCACAGTTTACATATGAGAAACAACGCACTGGAAAAATTCTTCTTTTCACCTTCACTTGAAATGTTTTCTCCCTGAATTCCTTCCTAATGCTTGTTATTATTACTGTACGACAGGAATATTGAGTAAATAAATGAAGCTGTTCTCACTGACAGATACTCTGCCTTCTTATTTGCCAGACTGTGTGGGATCAAATCTTTATGTTTAATCCATGATAATAATCATACTAACAACAAAATAATGAAATGACTGTTAACTTCAGTGCCTGCATCAGGTCTCCACTCATCCAGCTGTTAAATGTTTAACTTTTAAAGGCTGTGTGGGAGGGCTAGAAAAAAGCAGTTTTTACTGCATTCGGCCTGTATTGACCATAATGACCACTTTGTTGTATGTATCTATCTCAAAAGGCCAAAAGGTGTTTATTTGTGCGGTCATTTTTCTCTTACACCACTATAGGAGGTTTTTTACAATGTGATGGAAGTGCAGACTTTCACCTTTAATTATAGTAGATCAATAAAAGCGTGGCATTAAAAGTTTAATAGTTACAGACATTTTTGCCCACAATTTTCCCAGCATTTAGTTTGCACACTAACCAGAGCGTGTTCAAGTTTATGACAGTGCAATCAGAAAAACACAAAATACAAATATGTACTTCTAGAGACGTGTCAGGAGACAGACTCTTGTCTCTGAAAAGAACACGCAAAGTTCACTTATGAACAACTGATAAGATTGTTGAATCAGACCAAAGTGGTAATATCTGACCATAACACCCAGCACAGAGGCAGCCGTGGCCAAGGAGGCAGAGCACGTCTGCTAACCACAAGCTTGGTAGTATAAACCCCGCCTCCTCCAACCTGCATATCAAACTTTCCTCTGGCAGGATACTGAAGCTAAATGCATCAGTTGGAGTCTGTGAGTGTTAGGTTAAGCACTTGTGAACTGGAAAGTGCTGGTACTTTCAATCAGTGGATTTGGGGTCAGTTAATGTTTCTGTCACAACTCTGATTCAGTGATGTGCTGGTGACAATCAGCATGCAGAGACTGGCATGATTGGCCTACTCTGTTTGATAACAAGAAATAATCATAATGACGCCTGATCTGCAGTCTGTCAGCTCGATGTCTGTCAGTCAGACAGCTTCAGGTAAGGAATCGACTCAAGAAGACTGTGTATGCAGTAAAGTTGAATTCTGGGTGGGCGGGTCCACACTGCCAGCACTGAAAGCTTTCTTGTGTTGCTGGGTAACCCAGTCTCAAGTCTTTTCAATTACAAAGAACCGGCTATGTTAGGAACCTGCAGATGTTTTGCATATTTGAAAGTAAGTGTGTGTATGTGTGTGCGCTGCGTACGGCTCAACAGAGTCAATCAGGCTTATCATGTTTTTTGTTAAGTCTGATTTTGTCCCTTCCTGACCTCTTATAGGAGGAAGCTGACTCAGAGGGTTTACCCCCCCCCCATAACACAAAACAAACGAAAAACACTCCCAGGCCCTGAGGAGGTGCCACTTTTTTAGGGATTTAATGACTCGTGGGCTTGGTTAAGTTGAAGGAGCAAACCATGCCACTCCTAATTTAACTAGACCCAGACAGGCAAAGGAGGAATTAGAGTCATTTAATATTCTGATCAGGTTGTGGTTGGTGCTCGGACAAAGAATTAATATGTCAGTCAATGAATGAATGAAAGAAGCAAAACAATTGCTATGAAGCTATGTTTGTACGTTTGTTTGACCAGGTGAGTTTGTTGTAGAGTTACAGACTATAAAGGAGATAAATATGTCTCCTAGCAGATAGATGTGAGCTATGTATTCAAATATGAAAAGAATCTATTAGTTTGAATGTAAGTGCTGAAACAGACTATATTTATGACAATTTAAAAATCATGTTTATAATGCCTACAACATGAATAAATGTAAAATAATTGTCCCTGTAAAATGAAAGTTAACTGATTCCCTGTGATTGTCCTAGTTTGGACTGCACATACTGTCAAATGCAGCTTCATCAGTTCATCATCTGATGTGTCGAGAAAAGGTGGGCGGAGCGAGATTGAAGCCCCCCCCCCCCGGGTTTCTCTTGTCATCACAACAAGAAAGGATAAGAGAAGAGCTTAGAGAAGGTCTTCAGTGCTATAACAGAGCTTTTCCATTTTTTGCTAATAGTAAATCAAAAGACAAGTTTAATCAATATGTTAAATGAAAATATCTTTTCTAATGTCTACATTTTGTATGCAGAGACTTGAGCCAGCTTGGTTGGTCATCACGTGATTAAATGTCAGCAACTTGACTGGATGCCACCATTGGTGAGGCCAGATGTGACGTCCAGTAGGAGAGAGGGGAGAAAGAGAGAACAGGTGTAAAAAAGAGATTCAGGGTGCTTCCCTTTTGTCTCCTAGGAGACGAGCAGCTAAGAGGGACCTCGAGCTTTCACAGTAGAAAATTCCAGCAGAGACACCAGGGGATCAGTTGCTGCCCAGACTGTGAACCTGCATGTTGGTGTTTTTGTGGCTTTCTCTCTGCTCGTTTTTGTCGTGTTCGATTATAGAATCAAGAAGATTTGTATTTCCAGTCAGGACAGGACACAGAGATAAGTGCATCCTCGGATTCAGCACCAACCTTTCTCTTCCCAAAGATAAGAATAAAACAGCGTTAGCTCAGAGTAGGTTAATTAGAGTTTAACCCACATTTTACTTTGCTCTTTATTAAATTTTCTGCAAAAAGTCTAAATTGTGGACATTTCCTTTTTAGCCCTCTGTGAAACAGTACTGGTAAAAATATGAGTATTAACCCATTTTAGGGTATATAGCTCTTTCAAGATACTCCAGGCATTTAGAAGCAACAGTCCGTTGAAACCTACTGCCCACAGCCCTCATCACCCCAAATATTCCAAGTGTTTTGATCTAGAGGGGAGAATCAGAGAGCCGACCCAGACGTCCTTCATTAGGCTGCTGGTCCTGCAGATGAATAACTTTAGTTTTATGTATCAGACACAGAAAGCATGTGATGAAGACACTGATTCTTTTTATTAGATTAGTATCATAGTGTGGTTTCCAGTACAAAGGCTCAGAGGAACTGCTTACAGATAGTTGCAGTTTTTTATACAGTAGCCCACATTTTAATGGACAGAGTCATGCAAAAGGGCAAATCCACAGCAAACAGAGAAAAACTCATAGGCACACACTTACTCTCAAATATGCAAAACATCTGCAGGTTACAAACAAAGCCGCTCGTCACACATTCACATTTCTACACATGGTAAAACATCCGAATCTGTAATGTCAGTGTGCAGAGAAGTGGGTGAAATTATTGCTTCCAGTGGAATCGACTGTTTTATAAAAGAAACAAAATGACAAAAAAGTGTTCAGAGTTAACTCTCAGCCAGGCTGTGTAAATACTTCTGGATTATATAGCAGATCAGCATTCCTTCTTTTTATTTCACAGTGTACTAACTGTATCTGTATTTTGCAGGAATGTCATGCTGAAGGCAGCATGTTCGCCGCTCCTCACACATAACTTAGCTCTTGAAAACGAAACACATCAGGTTTACTGCAGTGATCAGTCAAAATGCACAAGTCAGAACGTCCATAGAGGTCGTTTGGGGATGAGGTGATTGGATGTTGGTCAGTGGAGCTTTGGCTGTCTCACAGGAAAGCACTAGGGTTGGCTCGTGGGTCCTTCTGGTTCCTGTAGCAATATGTGAGCCACACTCCCAAGATCTGACACAAACACACAGCACTAAGTTAAAAGTTTCCTTATGTCAGTCAATACTATGTAAGGAATTGTTTCAAACACACTACGTCATGAGAATTATTTTAAATCCACAATTATTTATGTAGAAATGTTGCCATGTTTTCTGGACAAACTCACTGAAGGAGGTCTGAGTCAAAGTTGGTCTGACAATCGAAATGCTGCCAGGCTTCCATCCATGTGACCTTATTCATTAATTATTAGCGTGAATGCTGATTACACAGTATTGTTAGCCTAATCTTTATTATTATATTTTATTATTATTTTATATTCTGTACATTTTTTGTACTCTACTTCAACACCGTTCTTCATCTTAGAAAAAACATTAACCAAGTCATTATTTTGTCATTTCAATTATTTTCTTATTTGTTCAAATGTTTTAATAAATACTTTCCCGTCACTAATGTACAAACAGCTGTTTTCCCTTCCATGCTGAAAATGAATCCTCTGTCTTTGTTGGTCCAAACAAGGGAAACAGTGAAGCCCATATTAAAAGTTTGCTATGTAATGATATCACCTGCGAAAAAGCCTCCTCCATGTTCCTCTTTTACAAACAAATCCTTCTGAATTCCTTTTTCTGTCTAATGACTCATTAGTAGTTAACAGAGCTGACTGTTTGTCAGCCTGGCTACAGTGAAGAGAAACCTGGGGTTGTTCTTATTTCCTTTAATCAGTGATTGAAGAAAATAAGCTTTATAGAGAGCTCTTTTAAAATAGAGCAACAAACTATTTCTCGAGGCTAAATGATGATCTTCTAAAGTAGCGACACGCCATTTCCTCTCCAGCTTACGAGTCATCTGCTTTAAGGTCTGGGTTTGAGAGTTTTACACTAACGACTTGTACGCAGTGAGGTTGGGCGATACGTAAAAATCTTCCAACCGATAATCATCAGTCCAATAACCGACGATATCTTTGCGCAGGTGCAGAATTTCTGATGGGTGGAGCAATGCAATCATGCACGGACTGATTTGCACATTTAGAATTTATAAGTTTTGTTTGAGGGAATATTTTACCTTCTTTTCTTGTTTGTTTCAGTAGCTACTTTTGGATTTTTTTCAAATTTATTTATTTGAGATGCGCTAAATTACAAAGAACACTTAACTTTACGATGGAGATTTTTTTAATGTTCGCTGGAAGAGACATTTTGATTTTTAACGTAGTTTTTGTTTGAGCTTGCATTTGTTGTTTGGTCGAGTGTGTGCGACAGATAAACACTGGAACAGCTTGTAAACACGGTTATAGTGGAAAAAGAAGCCACTTTCTCTTTGTTTCCCATTTAAATCAAATGTTTTTATTTTTTCTGAACATGGGCTTCTGCCTTTCTTTCTGTTATGAGTTTGAATAAATGAATCGCTACATTTGGGCGCACTCTGAGGTCGGTGCATTTGCTCACAGCTGGAAGACGGTGCCGTCAAAACAGCCCAATTATTTTTCCATTGGCTGCTTCTCTTAGCTTCAGTCAACATTATTAGCAAACTTACTCGTGGGCAAATAATTGAATAAATCGTTCTTGTAAAAACGATTGGTGAAAGGCTCAGCCTACGTCGATAGTCGATATATTCGTCCAGTCGCCCAACCTTAAAGATAGGAATCACCATACAGAAAAATATGACTATTGTGGAAAAGATTAAATCACAGAAAATGAAATATGAAGCTGAAAGAAGATGACAGACTGAAACCCTTAGTAAAATGTAACTAAAACAGGATCTTATTGATATACTAGAGAAAGTCCAGAAGTGGAAGCCCAAATGACATTTTCTACAACAGACTAACTTTTAATATAATTTGAGTTTCTGGTTTGTATTCCATACAAGTTGGTGGTGGTACCATGGGGCACATGTAGGCAGCCTGCTGTAGGCACTATATCAGCACGCTCTCATACCAACATACCGACGCCATGTGACAAATCGGCGGTATGTTACGCGTTGGGAGGTATGAGAGCCGTTTGGAATGAATCTGTACATATAAATGTGTTTTATGTTCTGATCATGAATCACTTTGGAAAACACCATCTGATAGGGCCAACGTTATGGTTAAGGTTAGGGTTGGAATGGACGGCTGGAGCTTCTGCTCTGAGCGTGTGTTATTGCCACGACCGGCATTCTATTGGATTCAATTGAGATTCCGAAGCGTCTCATAAGGACGCGGAATGGTATCTTTCACCTTGGGACGTGACAAATCGTCGGTATGTTACTGAAACACAGGGCATGTCTGGGCTGTAATGGCTCACCTCAGTGAAGCTGAAAAAGAGGCCAATTCCTCCTACAAATCGGAGAATATCTCCAGCATGTTCCTTAATCTGGTCTGCACAAGGCGAACAGAAGCTGTTGGGGAAACAAGCCTGCAAGAGACACAGCACATGTTTAAAAATCGCACCAATGCTTCTGACAGTAGAGTCATTATTTCAAATTAACTTTACTGCTGTTACTTTTCAAACAAGACCAAGGGAGCTCACTGTCAACCAGTGATGGGAATAACAGCGTTACAAGTAACGGCGTTGCTAACGGCGTTACTTTTTTCAGTAATGACTAATCTAACTAATTACTATTCCTATCATTACAACGCCGTTACCGTTACTAACAAGAAAATGTGGTGCGCTCGCGTTACCATTTTTCAACAAACAGATGATTGAAGCTGTGTTCAGGTTACCGCTTGCACGGAAGTAGCTGTAAGTAATCTGGGCGCTACAGCTTTAAGCAGCTACGCGCTCCCGTGGACGGCACAACACCTGGAGCTAATGGGGCAAAACAATCGCATTATCCACAACTGTTCCTTGGCTCTTGGACAACTTTGATAATTCTTTTCACTCCTCTGTCTGAAACCTTGCAAGGAGCAAGGTTGTGGTCGTTGTCAGTTTATCATAAAATGATGTTCTTTCCACTTCTGGATTATGGTCCCAATGGTGCTCACTGGGATCTTCAGTAATATTCCTCTGAGCCAGTGCCAGCAACATTTTTGCAACAATAAATGGCCTGTATTTATAGCGCTTTACTAGTCCCTAAGGACCCCAAAGCGCTTTACATATCCAGTCATCCACCCATTCACACACACATTCACACACTGGTGATGGCAGCTACATTGTAGCCACAGCCACCCTGGGGCGCACTGACAGAGGCGAGGCTGCCGGACACTGGCGCCACCGGGCCCTCTGACCACCACCAGTAGGCAACGGGTGAAGTGTCTTGCCCAAGGACACAACGGGGCTTGAACCGGCAACCTTCCGATTACAAGGCGAACTCCCAACTCTTGAGCCACGATCGCCCAATAAAGTTCCAAGGGTCTTGTGAGAGCTCACTGGTTTTACCCATCATGTTTTTTGAGACCCCTTTTAATCGACCATCAGCTGGGCCCTATTTGCACCTCCCTTTCTTCATTTTTTCAACAAAGTTTTTTATTATCACACATAATGTAATTACACAATTTATGTGTCTATGGTTTGATTTCATTGCATGTGTGAAGTGGGTGGGTTGTTATCAACACATGGTGACAATTTCTTTCAACCTAAACTTTAGAAATATATTTACTTGAAAATTTGTGATGTGTTCAATTTTATTGTACATTAAAAAAACAGAACCATCATCAGCCTCTTCGCACATACTGAGATATGTGACATGTAACGGGGAACAGGAAACACTTGGAAAAGACTGGATCCAAACTCACAGCATCACACATGCTGTTAGGGTCGACATGTTTGAAGCCACAGCAGTTGAGGCTCTTCTCCACATCTCTCTGGGTGCTCTCAGAGTTGTTCCAGCCCACCTCCAGCAGGTGATCCTTGAGCACAGTGTTAGAAGGAACATGAAGCATTACATCTGTCATCATCTGTCAGTATTTTCACATTAAGAGGTTCTGCTTAAATGACTTAATGAGCACATAGTCTGTGCAGCCTGACAAGCTTAGAGTTTTAATCACAGAAGCCACACTGGTTCACTTTTATTTTTTTTATTTATCAGTAATAATCCTTATAGTATCTCCACTTATATTAAAATGTAGTGGCCAAAAAATGTCATGCTGAAACAAAACTTCCAGAGAAAAAAGATACGACCTTCATTTAAGCTGTGTGTTAGCTACTTTTGGAGAGGCAGGTTTTAGGTAAAATCTACTTTCACTTTTTATGTGTTATTTACTGATAATATCTATAAAATATGATTCCCATTGAAGTAATATTATTAGTGTTTACTGACCACAATTTACACTTATTTAAATTTCTTTTATATAATATAATTTGATTTCTTCCTCCTATTACACACACTTTCTTTCTTTTTTGGACGCGTTCCCATTTAAACGAATAGGCGAAAATTCTGTAGATTTTTTAGGAATTTTGCAAGAACTAATTGCTACCAAACGTCACAGCACTCTATTCCCAAACAAGCTGCACAAAACGATCTATCATATGTGGGGTTTTCACAAAGCTGCAAGGAGAGTTTTGTCTCAAACTATCAGGTGGAAGAACGAGACGGTACTGTCTGACACTGCCTGCTTGTTCAAGGCCTCCACCTTCCCTGCATCCACCTGTAGGGATGTTTGCTCAACAGCTCTGATGAAACTTTTTAAAATGTGAGTTGTCTAACTGTACTGGATATAAAGTCAAGTAATAACAAATTAATGTGCAACAGAGAGCAAGCTGCATAGTTATCATTTGTGCTGCTCGGCACTCTGTGGAGAAACCAAAGCTCGTACCTGTTGCTCTCTGTTGACAGCCAGACAAGCGCTGGAAACAGAAAACTGTACAATAAATACCATGAACAGGATGATCATGTACTGAGCTTCACTGTCAAAGAACAACAACAGTGGACACATTGCAGACATTGGACATGCATAATACTGCTGATAGTCAGTGTTACTGAAGCACTACATAAGCAGTTGGAAGAGCTCATTTATAGAAACATATCTGCTAATAGTAAGAAAATAGAGTCTGTGTGCAAGGTTGTCTGTGAAATACAGTCAGCTCGGTATCTTCTTCCACATAAATACATTAATATGTAATGAATTTTCCAAAACAGTAATGTTAAGACAGCAGGAGATAAACAACAGTGTGCTGGTCAGAAACAGGACAAAGATGCTCGGCACCAACAAAGACAGCTCTAAACATTTTAACTGTTCTTTTCTTTTATTCTGGGAAGTTCTGGTCACTTAGCAACTAATTAAACATCTGAATCTAATATTACAGAATTATTTTTAGATTTTTTAATTAGCACAAATTCAATGATACCACAAAACAACGACCACAGAAGACAAACCAACAATATTATTACACATAGTTTCTATTTTGTCGTTGTTTCTTTATGCACCCCACCAACATGCCCCCGACCAGGTTCTGCTGGAGGTCTCCTGTCACCAAGAGCTTGGTTAAACGGGATTGTTTGATTGTTGGGGTCCTCCCTTTATTGTAGGTCTTTAACTTACATTATCTTCAAGCATCTTGAGATGACTGTTGCCGTGAACTGGCACTACTGGAACTATATATGTAGAAAAAGGATTGAATTTGTATTACTGAATGACATTTTATATAAGTTGCGAATGAAAGTACAGAAAGAACAGTCATAGGATGAGTTTGTGAAGGATACAAAGAAGAGCAGGACTTGGTGATGCTTCATTGCCCCAATGAGGCCAGCCAGAGCCACAAAGAAGAGAAAGACACCCACACCAATGATGCCTCCCACCACCTGGAAACTGGAGACCAGACCAAACCACTTTCCCCATGCTGCGATGCCAATCATCAGGAGACTGACCATCTGCAGGACAGACATACTGGCTGAGTGTGGAAATGACACTTTGTGCAAAAAGTTAAACATCATTTTTTTATCTATCAGCTGGCCAGGGCCGTTCTGTAAGGAGTTTGCATGTTCTCCCCATGTCTACCTGGTTTCTTTACATGCTTCCTCCCACAGTCCAAAAACATGCAGTTACACAGATGTGAATGTGAGGTTGAATGGTGTTAGCTCTGCTACAGACTGGCAATCTGCAGACTGGGTGCACCCTGCACTATGGCAGCTGTGATAGGTCTTATTTGGATAAGTGGATTGAATATAGCTACTTCCACATCTGCTAAATCGAACATGTGAAATCAACTGCAGCAGGCAGCTTAAAAAACAAAAATCAGCCATATAAGTATCCACACTATCACACGTGGGTTAATTATTGAAATTCTGCTTTAGGTTATAAGAGAACTTTATTGTATTGTCCAGCATGTGCTGTCTGCATTGACTTTGACCACAAACAATCTGAGTGGCTCATGAACCAGCAGCCAAGGAATCTTTGTCTGAAGTGGTGGCACACAGTGTCAGCAGTGTAGCATAAATCAAGTTCAGAATAGTTTAAATGTGCGTCTTCCTTCATCACATGCACATGGTAACTAATTTTAAAAAGTAAAAATATTCAGTCAGTAGCATAGAACGATTTATGTGGATGAGGAAAAATATCAATCCTTGATGTGATTGTGTGAGCAAATCCAGTAGCATTGTTATGTTTTAGGGACATTTTGCTGGGATGACTTGACTTGTCATCGTACAAGAAGTTAGGGGGCTAGAATCAGCATACGACATGGTCCTACTTGCGCTGCTGGATGGCTTTACAAGCACTAGTTGTGGGAATGGATACATGTTGCTTCTTTATTACTTTAAAAAAAGAGTGATAATAAGAGCATTTTCGTCTTCTTTTTTAAATGTGAGCTGAACTGCATGTGAATATCTTATCCTCTCGACTTTTACATGATGAGCAACAATTTTGTACTACACTTACATAAAGAGAGATTAAACAAGAAGCAAAGGCCAACATGTCAGACTGATACGATGATATAATACGAAAGTTGCAGTGTCAGATCCGGCAGATTACCTCACTGTGAAATCATTAGTACCTCCTGCACCCTTACAGAACCAAGGGTGCTATGGAGCGCCTTCTTTAAAGGACTGCAAGGCTCCAGGTCCAGTGTGTAGCTAAGCGTCAGATACACACCTTAATCCAAAGCAGACATGATAAGAGCTATCAGAGCCTGCAGGAAAGGCTTCCACAGTAAGGGCGACCTCTAAAGTGACAACCCCCCGCCCCAAAAAACAAGCGCACAGTTAAAGGTGGAAACTGTAGATCCTCCCATTTTAAAAAGAAAATCGGGCGCTTTTCTAAACTCCTCGTCTCTTATTCGGTTCATCCGATGGATGGAGCGGCCACCTGATCCTACCTACCACAGTGAATAATTGATTAGAGCAGCGTCTGACCTCATCAGTGGATTTTGTAAAAGTGGACGTGGACTCCATTTACACACTCTGAGGGTGATAAAATGCAATCTGTATTGATGAACACGGCACTTTAATGATCCATATGGTAAGCTGTGATGTGGATACTCACAACATAGAGGATGTTGAGCGCACACAGGGAGTGCTTGGAGCAGGTAAATCCAGCGCAGCCCATGTTCACCAGCAAATAAACACAATAAATCCTTGAAGCTGATGTTTACATAAATATCTCGACACAAGAAATAAAACCCGGACAAAGACCCACTGAGCTACTTATTCCGCTAGTCCGCAGCAATAGATGATCGGTCCAACCTGCGAGGAAAAAAGAGGCTTACAACCAACACCTGAGTGCAGAGGAAGTCACATGTCGACCCTTCAAAATAAAGTCAAATAAAGACCGACCGTGAGATAGATAGACATCGGTATTTTGAGGGAAATTGGGATGCAGCCTACAATCTAACTTCTTCACCACAGCGGATCATCTACCTTCATCTGAAAATGTCCCCAGCATCCTCCTCCGTCACACCAACCCTCTGCATCTTCTCCTTCACTACATCCACCAATCATCTCTGTGGTTCTCCTCTTTGCCTCCTGCCTTCAGTGTTACACCATGACATATATTTGCACACATATTTGTGTCCTTTTGTATTATTAATATTTATCTATCTATGCCTCTGTTTCAACACGTTTGTTGTATGCATGCTCTGGTATTAATAAAGTCTCTTTGATTCTCTGATTCTGATTTTCTTCAGTGCACATTCATCAGGTCCTTAAAGTACTCCTTCCATCTTCTCAACACAGTCTTCACTTCACAGTTGGTACAGTTCAATCTGTCTTAACCTGCTGCGTCCTTTACAACTCGAGCTCTCTCCCTAGCCAATGGGGAGCCAAATCCTTGACTCTTCTCTCAGTGTCCAGCCTCACCTACAAAACACTGTAAACCTTTGATGGACGCCTGAAGTATCTTCATCTGGGGTATAAACATCATGTAACAACGTCTCTCAGTTGTGTGTTAATCGTATAATAAGGATGCACGTGGTCTGTTAATTCCAGGCTGAAATGCCATGCTTTTATTATGAAGGATTAAAATTCCAGTTTGAGTGTAGTCTTATGTGGTTTTTTTTTAACTTGACTCCTAGTCCACATGTGACTCAGTAAGGGACGGGGGGCAGGATATCCGATCCACTGATTGGCTAAAGAGAAGTCCTGCAATTTCCTCTCAAAATATTCCAGAAAGATTGTTGTCAGGAGCCATTTAGCTTCATAATTCACCAACGACGCTTCGCTTGAAAACAGCACAAGCGTTGCTGGGTCACACTGAGCCGTCAAATGCACGCACGCCAAACACACACAGCGTTCCGGCAGGACAACAACGGGAGAAAGTGAAAATACATACGAGCAATGCCAGTAACAAGATCATCTGCGGGAGCAGCAGCTGACAAACTGTCCTATTAGATATTATAAGACTAAAGTCAGATCTCAGCACCTCAGAATGTAACACTCGCAGACACATGATACGTGGTTCTAGTCGTTCCGCACTTCCTCTGCGCAGGTGGCCCGAGCAGCCACTCAGCGATCATAAACTTATATGACCATCAGATGGCGCTGCAGGACCAGTCAAACTCAAATGACTCGCTGAAAACCTCACCGGGCAAGTACATCGTGCCAAAAAGTGATCGTCTGCTCGGATTTAAACTGCTATACATAACTTGTTGGTCTATAATATGTGAAACATATGTCAAATGTGTCCCTGTAACAGCGTAGAAGCCGTCGGTTTTGGGGAGTGACTTTTATATGTCCTCTATTTATGCAGTTAAAAAAGCTTGATGACATTAAAAATGTGTTTTTTAGAGTAATCTGGCCAAGAAGACAGCAAATATTGCAAGAAATCTAACAATAGTTCTGTAAACATGTTTTAAGTGGACAAAAAGGATGGATTTGGTTGTAATGTAAGTACAATAAGGCAGAGTTGTAAAGATAGTTGAAAAAGATGTCATTTTAACATTTTATATGTAACCCCTTTGTAAAGCCTGTTGACCAAAGTCTATTTGGGGTTCAGTATCTGAGGCAGTCAGCGATTAAACCACAGATTAGCAGATGACTATGCCTGCACTACCTCCTGAGCCACCCCGTGGGTACACAGTGGGTGTAAAGGGACAGACACAGTCAACAATAATACTCAAATACACTGTGGCATTTAAACAATGCCTAGTTTGTACTGAGGGCCACCCACACCATTACACCACCAACACAAGCGTGAACCATTGATTAAAGGGAGGATGTATCCTCTACTTTCATATTGCTTAATGCCAAATTCTGACCCAACCATCCAAATAGTGCAGCAGAACCAGCAACATTGTTCTACTGTCTATTTTTCTTAGTTTTTCTTTCCCCCACCTTTCAAATGTTGCCTTTAAGCCCAGAAATCCTTTTGTTTCCCTCTTTGTTTTATGTTTTTAAGATAAAATCATCCTTAAGAAGCATGATATTAAATAAATTCTTACAGAATAGTGGTGACAAGTGAAAATGTCTCTGTTAAATCCACTCTTAAAGGATTGCAGTTACAATGTGTAGAGGGAAAGCAGTATACACGCAGGACGGAGTGCATTGCCAAAAACCAAAGACAGTTATGCTCACTTGCTACTAAATGTCCTGAAATATGTCATATGTACAGAGGTCATGATAACATTCCTAAACACTCATACTCCTTTGGGTGGCGCTCTCACTTGATGTTGGCTTTTTCTGGTATCACTTGCTGTTTCTGTTACAACACAGAGTGGTGTTATTAGCTGTGTCCAGGGGCTGCATCCTTCTTCTTTTTTTAAAACTTTAACAAAAGAACAAAGTACAAGAGCAGTAGCTACCTTAGCAGAACAAAGATGACATAAAACATATACTGTAGAAAATCGTTTCAGAACTTGAGAACAGAAGAAGGAAATCTAGATGTGTCAGGGAGGCAAGAAAGAAAATTTAAAAAAGCAACCACAATTTATTTTCTTCTTCTTCTTCCTTTTGTTTTAAGCACTGTTTTGAATATTTTATTGAGAGAATAACAATAATGTTCTAACTGCTTTATGATTAGAGGAAAGTCTGATAATGTCATAAGTGATAGTTATGGAATTCCATCATGAAAGTAAGGAAGTGCGGTTTTCTGTTCAGAACATTTGTGAATATGACATTTGGCCCATAAAAGAATTCAATTACAGTTTTTCTCAGTCGCTTTGGTGCGTTTCTCAGATCAGAATTGAAATTCTCATAACTATTAGTTCAACCTCCACAACACTCAGTCATTTGTGCACATCATAGTAGCAATTTCTCCTCTCTCTGAACAAACTGCAAATGATTTTGGACATGAATCAGTTGCTTCCATACATTTCCCTGCTGCTTTCTGACATTTCCATTTGTTTATGTCATGTCAGTCAAAAGTAATCATACCTATGGATGCTGAATAGTCATTCCCAATAAAACTAATAGTCATACATCCATTGCTTAAGTCATCACACACAAAATTGTTGAACTAGTTATCACATGCCAAATATTGGCCATCTGTCAAGCAAATCCTATACCTTTCTGTATCATTTTTCCTGGAAATGTCTCCGAAATTGAACAATTGATCTCAGGTGAATTACAGCTGGCACTCATGAGGAGGCTCTACCAAATGGGTGATTTTATGTTTACATGTATTCTACAGTGAACAAGTGACTGTAGCATATTTTTCTTTTGCACAATTCTGTAGGATTACAAACACTTCTACACAATGGAAATGTGAAGCGTACGTATTCAGTGTCTCAGTTACTCCCAAGACTCCCATAACATCTACAGTGACTTTACTGCACATTTCAGATGGCTGTACAGGTAGGCCATAGTGCTGTCGTCAGCATTTTCAGGTGTCACCAATTGTTTTTGCAATGGGAAACACTGAAATTATAAACTGTCATAGTGGAAACATGACAATGCCATTTGACTATCTTGTTCATAAAGATGGTGTCAAGACTTTTCATTTTGATGGCACTGACAGTTTCGTTGACATGGATACTTGCTTTTGAGGTATGGATAATCAATTCTGTGCATGTGACGTGCTTTTGCAGGCTATCCACTAGGTTTTGCAGTTTGCACTAATTGTTTTGGGAAATGCACTAACTGCTGTGCAAATGTTAATGGTGTTCTGAGGAACGCACCAAAGCGACTGAGAAAAACTGTAATTACAAATATAGAAGAGTTTATGTTGTTATCCTGATGTAGGATAAGACATCTTTCCAAAAAACCCTGAAAATCCCCTTTGATAGTGTCTCTTACATAAAAAGAGACATTTTGCCAAAAATGTCAAGAGTGGGAGCCCACTCTACCTACTCACACTAGGTATAGCTGTCCAGTGCTGAAGCAAGTTAGTTCTAGGGTGAAAGAACCCTAATTTATTGTACCGCAAATGTTTCCCTCTGGCTTCTGTATGAGCTTCCGTTTAGTTAGCACACTGAGATTGGTTTTCTGCCATTGCACATGTGCTCCAAATCCAAACTACTCATTGCTGGAAAACTTGTGTCTTGCCTGACAAAGTGGAATAGACCAAAATATCCTCTAAAGCCAGACATCACATCGTGATCCAAGGAAAATCAGGAACAAATGAGAAACAAAGTAATTGAGATCGCTCAGTCTGGAAAAGGTTAGAAGGCCATTATCCACAAATAGTGAAAACAAGGAACAATGGTGAACATTCCCAGGAGTAACCGGCTGACCAAAATTACCCCAAGAGTGCAGCGACGACTCATCAAAGACCCCAGAACAACATCCAGAACTGCAGGCCTCATCTGCCTCAGTTAAGGTCAGTGTTCATGACTCCACCATAAGAAAGAGGCTGGGCAGAAATGGTGTTAAAAAACAAAAAGCACTGCTGAACATAAAGCCTCATCTCAGTTTTGGCAGTGAACACCTTAAAGATCCCCAAGACTTTTGGGAAATTACGCTGTGGACTGACGAGACAAAAGGTCCAGGTGTGGGGGATGGAGTCACAGGCCTTCAATCCAGGCGGTGCACAGGTCGGTCGCTTGGTCTTGCAGTCTCGGGCGACTTCAGAGTCATCATCTAAATGTATTATGTTTAGCCAGTAGGTTAGATTAAAAGTAAATATTACATTTACAAACTAAGCTCTGGTGTCAGAAATTCAACTGTCAAATGAATACGAGTCAGTAAGTATTACATACCTTTGTCCCGTCTTATTTTTTCTATGTCCGATTTCCTTTTTTCTTGAGCACCACTCCTAAATATCATTTTAGAAGCCATTTGTGCAACAATCAAAATTCTGTACTGAAATGTAATGTTATGATGTTACAATCTTGCCTAACCATGTCGATGCTGGTTCTAATCAAATGTTAGTGTCTCAAAGTGAAAACGCACTCTCAGGATTTAAAATCTCCTTATGTGAACTACAGACAGATTTATCTGGTGCTGATAGGCTAAATCAACATTGTGTGAACTAATCTGACGGCTCTACATTTATATTTAACATTTCTATAACTGCAGTGTGCGCAGCAAGCAACACGGAAAGTCATGTGGAGCTAACTACAATAAACGTGTTAGATACTGTGACTTGAGGCTGGAGTAGAGGTTCACCTTCTTTAAAAAAAGTATTATTATCATTATTTATTTATTTTATTTTTTTAAGTTTGAAGTTATTACAAACACAACAGACATGACTGGGGGATAAGAAAGTAAGACAGGAGAAGTTCAAGAAAAACAGAGGGGAAGAGGGGCAGTGAGAAAAGACACTAAAGAGACACTAGAGGTTGACCTTCCAGCAGGACACTGACCCTAAACATACAGTCACAACTACACTGGAATTGTTTGGATTAAAGCATATTCATGTGTTAGAATGATGTATTCAAAGTCCAAAGCAAAGAAATAAAGAACTCTGTAGTGCTTTTGTGACATGGGGCGAAAAATGTAGG